TTTAACCTGTGGCCCCTTTTCCGTCCACACTCCTTAAACTCAGCATACTGCCCACACCAGGCCTTTACATGTTTTGTTTGTACTCGTCCATCTGCCATGAATGCCCTTCCCCCACTCTCACCAACCACTCTATTCCCCTAAATTCTACCCACCTTTGAGGTCTCAACCTCCCAGACCAGTGTTATCTGATTGCACAGAATTTTGTCACAACCTTTACCACATGTTGCACACCTACAGGCATTTAATTATTTATTAGCAGTCATCTTTTTTTTAAGTCTGCCCTTTACTCTGTCTGTAAGCTCTTTGAAGATAACAACAATGATTGTTCTGTGCATTCACATATCTCCAGTCTTGAGGATTAGGCCTGGCACAGAGAAGCTCAATAAATATCAGTTGAGTGACTGGCTTATCCCAATGCAAACATTGGACCTATAAGAAAAACTGGTGGAAAGAAGAACAAGAACACTGCACGTTTGAGTGACTATTTCCTTCCACTTGGTGATAGTTCACAGGCTCACCATGGCGCAACCCCTGAGTTTCAAATTCTCAAACAAACATTTCCCCCCAAGGTTGGACTCCTTGCTAAAATGAAGCAAAATCCTGACAGAAACAATAATTCATCTTCTTATATATTTATCTGAAATGGCTGTAAAAGTCTCCAATACTGGAGGGTCAGGAAAAACTAAGGACAGGATGATTTTCACATTGCCCTGATTCTCTCCACACTAAGCACTTGAGTAGTCTATGAGTTCAAGGATCTGTTTCATGCTTCTACTCAATCTATGAGAAGGAATCCATTGAGAACGAGGTTGCTGATCAGAGTTAAAGGCCAGGGAGTAATGGATTGAGATCTGTCCAGTCAATAAGATCTGGAAAAAAGCTTTATTTCCCATTTCCCTTTTCTTTACACCTATAAATTGAATGGCTTGCCACATGTTTGCTTCTTTCCAGGCTTCACTCCTGTGTTAGCCCTCTCTCAAAGAAGACATATATATTGAGTACTTATGGTATGTCATGCACCATGCTAGGTGCATCCCAAATGTCTGTGAGCCCTTACAAATACCTGGTGAGGTGAATATTAATACCCTCATTTACTCTCAAGGAAACTTGACTATGTAACTTGCCCAACATTACAGATCCAAAGAATACTGTAGCCCAACATTGCAACCCAGTTGAAATGTATTCAAAGGCCACTACTCTGATTTAATTTCCAGGGTTTAAAACAATCACTAATGCTTATTGGACAAAATAGAATCATCCTACCATGTTCTAACAAAGGGGAGATTTACATATAACAGAATTAAATCGTTGCTGTTGTATTGTTGCTGTGTTATCCTCCTAATAAGAAGCATCACTTTTACAGGAAAAACAAATCTGGGCCATGAATGGGATCTGTTAGGATACATCCAACAACTTTCAAACATTTGGATTAGTCCTCATCTGAGAATTTCGATCCCTTCTGAAATTCTCCTAACTTCACAATGGTTTGATGAATAATTTACAAAATGAAGAATTTTATGCTTTCAAGAAATGTAGAGCTTGGAATGCAAATACCATGGCATGGAGTGCGACCCCAGGAGACTAAGTCCTGGCTCATTTATTTTAAGAGAAGAATGCAGGGAGCATTTGTAAGTACTGAGCAGCTGATAACACTTGATAGAAGGCAGAGATGGGACCCCGGGGAGGTACAACAGAAGGACTTGGGGCTTAGTGAGTCCTGGAGTGTTATCTGCCCCTGTCTCTAAGGAAGCCAGATAAGAACATTTCAAGGATAAAGTTGAGAGTGAAGAGTGATATTCAATCTTAGCAGCCTTTGCATGATGCACAAAAGAACTATTTTGATATCATAGCAGCAACCCCATAAACAGGGAGGGATAACAGTGAAACCAAAGACTATTTTGCCATCCCCTTTAAACTTACCAAGAGAAACCGAGAGCATTTTGTCAAAAATATCCTAACGTTGCAAGACCCCGTACTCTCTGTTCTCCAGTGAGCAGTTTCCCACCCATACACAATATCTTCAGAAAGCTGGAGGCTACATTTGTCAGGAAAGCACAGAGATCACAGCTATAGTTTCTTATCTTGATGGCCAAGTTTTAGAACCCTTTGAAATGTTGCCCCAGTCACCAAAGTGAGAGAAGCAATAGTACAGACAAATCGCAAGATTTCATTAGGGAGTTTTTCTCCCCCAACCCCTTCAAAGGTCTCTGTTTGAGCTTCTCACCTAGTAGCACAAAAGCTATTAAATCACTTGAATGAAAGGGTCAGGTTGCAAGCTGTGCAAGTATGGAAGCCAGCGAGCCCTGTTCAGACCACCCAGCTCTCCAAAGGGGTAGCAACACCAGATTCAGACAAGATAAGAGGCTGCCGTCCTAAGTCACCGACCCAGAGACACAGCCTTTCTAGAGAGTTACAGGATCCCATTGTGAAGAAAGACTGTGTGCTCTGAAAAAAGGTGACATTTGTCTAACTCACTATGCCGGTGGTCTTGGTTATTTGTGAGAGAAAGAAAATGTAAAGGATATATATATTTTTTTAATCTTGAAGAAAAGCAGTAAGCCAAATCTTCAGGCCTGTTCTCAAAACAAATGCTAAAAAGTTCCCATTCGATTGTATGCCAACTATACTTTAATAAAAAATTAAAAAGAAAAAAGTTCCCATTCCCCGATAACTGAGTTTAGAAGACTGAGCTGTATCCATCAGTGTCAGAATATCAGAGATGGGAAGATACCAAAACTCATTAATTCAGCCCTTTTGTTTTATTGATGGAGAAAGTGATGCTTAGAGAGATTAGGGGGCTCATCCAAGATTGGTTCGCAACAGCTAAGATTTGAAACATCACAGGGAGAAGGACCCTGTCCATACTGTTCAACTGGTCACTTCAGGGTCCTTGGAAACTAGCACTGAGCATGGCATGTAACAGGCACCCACAAATAATTGGAATGAGGACAGGGGAAAAAAGGAAGGGACACTGACGACCACATCCTATTTTCTTTTTACTATAAATATACAATGCCATAAATATACAATGCTATATAACCTGTCACTGAGGATGGGGATGGAGCCTGAGTTCTTACTTTCCTATGTTGTCAAATGAGGACCTTAACATGATGGAGGAATCGCTTCCTGTTTTTCCCAATCCCTGGGGCTGGTCCAATCTAAACTCAGTTTCTACGAATTAGGCTGCTCCTGAACAGTCCCAAGAAATCCAGTTGAGTTCAGCCTAACTCGGCCTGGCTTGACCCAGGGGCAGAGCATCCCAGGAGGCTGAGAAAGAATTAAGAACAGCACTGGGGTTCAAGTTTCCAGGATAAACATTGCTTGGCCACATAGGGGGCAGGTCAGATCCTACAGCAGGAAAATATGGTGTCCAGGTACCTCTGCCCAACTCCCTTTCTCACTCATGGGAAAGCAGGCGTGGAAAGGGGAGCAAGAGAAGAAAAAAAGACGAGGTTGGTGGGAAAGCTGGTTAAAAAGCCAAGGTTTGTCAGCCAAGCACGCAAAACCATGCTGCACAAAGCTTATGTTCAACATCAACTCAAACTCAAGTTTACCAATTAGATAGGAGGTTTAATATTAACCAAGTACATGACAGGAATTTCATTGCCAAGGACACTGTAGAGCAGTGCTTATCCAAGTGTGATCTCACCTGCATCAGAATCACCTGGGTGGATTCCTGGCCCCGCCCCAGGTCTAAAATTCTTTGAGGGTGTAGCCTAGGCACCTGCGTTTCACTAAGCACCCTGGTGGTTCTTATGCACACTTTGAGAATCTCTGATGGAGTTAAGGAGCCAAAGCTAGTTAACTTTTTTCTAGAGTTTTGCTAAAGGCACTTTTTATCAAGTGTAGGCAGAAGCAACTCTTCAAGCTTTAACTAGAGCCAGAACTGGCACTATCAGTTTTCCAGAGGAGAAAGCCTAAGAGCATTTGCATCCCTAGGTCTGGTCCATGGAGCAGCCCTGAAGAGGTTAATCTCTCCAGCAAGATTCCCAGGCTGTAAACTCCAACCAGCCTCCGGAAATGCTCTTTTAAAGCTTTGTAATTCATGCCACGCCACAAGACAGAGCAACAGTAAGAAGGCAGAAATAAAAGTTAAATGCCTTAAAAATTATTTCTGTGATCCAGATGAAAACTAAAAGAAACTATTTACTACAGCATCAAAAATCTCTAAACTAAATCTTGTGGATAAGCAAAAAAATCAGTCAAAACTTCAGAAAAACATGATTCCTTTGCCTCACCAACACTCTCTCTCATCCCCATTAAAAAAGATACCATGTTTTAAAACATATATATCCCAACATAGCTAAACTAAAGCAAAGGTATCCAAAAATTGTCTCCTGCAAATTTCCATATCTTTATACCCTGAGGATATTATCTGTTTTGTTTATTTTTGCATCCTTTCCCTTTGCCATTTCATTTGGCTGAGAAAAACTATTTTGATTGGGGGAAGAAAAATCACAACATCTTAAAATGGTTATTTCATTGGTGAGTGCCATTGGAAATGGATTCAAAAGAGAGTTATCAATTTTTGTTACATAATAAAGAGAATCTCATTTTGGGCATGTGGTTTTTTTTAACACTGCAAGTTACCACCTTCTGAGTTTACATGAGAATTAAACTTTTGCAAGCAGACTCTATATACTTCTTGCATCATTACTTGGAGTTAATGCTACCACCATGCACACAACTTCTGGGGCATTCTGCTAACAGAACATTCCCAGTTAAGATGAGAGGAAGTACATAAAGCAGATACTTACAGGTAGGTAGTGGTTTTCCTTTCCAAGCCCCCAAACTAGAAACCCTTGGCCCAGGCGGGCGGGATCAGAGTCACTGACCGGTTAAATCTCTGGTTTAAAGACAGGAAGGGGGAGGAAAAACAACCCAGGGAAGGAAAGAGAGCTGAAATTCCAGTCTTTCAGGTCAGCTAAGTTTTAGCTTTCTTTGTACTAAAAATCCATTAACCCACCCAACAAGAAAATACAGAATTGAAGTTTACATACACACTTCACTGTCTTTGCTGGTGTTCGCCAAAGCTGCTGCTGCCGCTGCGGCTTTGAAAACTTCCCGATTGCCAAGCCTCAGGACTCCCTCTGAGAAGAGCATGATAAAGGATGCCAGCAACTGTTTGCAGGGAGCCCGACCTCCCTGGCAGAGAGCCACAGCTCTTCAGTCCCTTCTGCTGGTTGGGTCCGCAGGGACAAAACTGAGCTTTTGTTAATGAGGTCGGTTGCTTCTCTTCCTTGTCTCTCCCCAGCTTCCTTTCTCACTATTAGTTATGTACTAACTGCTCTGCCACTGGCTGAGCTGAAGCTGCCTCTCCCGCCCGCAGCCCGCAGCCCTCAGCACACAGATGCACATGCTCATACTCATGCTACATACACAGTCACTCAAATACACTACATACATGTGCGCACGTGCTACACACACATAGGCACCCACAGGGGACAAACCCATTCAAAGGCATGCACACACATGTTCATACAACTTCACACCCATGTGCATGCATGGTACACACATATAGGTACACACACACACACACACACACGTGCTCACACCCACCCACATACATATTCACGCAGTTGTTTCCTGAACCTTCAAACTCTTCAAACACACTTTTTTCCTGACCCCCTTTTCTTCAAACAAATTCCCATTCTGAAAGGCTTTTATTCAATTCACACAAGATGCCCAGCACTTAGAAGGGAGGAGCAAACAGAACTGGCCCCTTTTAGCTTTTATCACAGGATTCAAAGGAAAAGATAGAAGATTGATTCTAGGATTCTCTTTTAAAGGATCACCTTAGTTCTTCAGCTTATAAGGCTTTTCATGTGTCTGTTTCTCTTTATAAATCCACAAAATTCCCATTAATCTCACCTCATTTGCATATAGTTTATGACCCCCTGATTCAGATATATCACAGGTCAAGAAAAGTCCTTTAAACAGAGGTTCATTTAGTTAAACTTATCAGGATTCACTGGGTGGTTGAGAGTCTTATACCTTAACACCTGCGTACTAAAATCCTTTCCTTTAATTTCAACTCCACCAGAAAAAAATTTTAAAAATAAAATAACAATAATAATACTAATAATGGCATACTCTCTGGCCTAACCTCTAGATTGACGGTATATACAGAAGTTGGAGTATTACCTCACTTTAGGGGACATGTTTACATTGAGACATGTCCAGCTATTCTAAACTTTAGCCAAATATACAGGGCACTATAAATCCAATTCAACCTAGATGTGGTTTACCCTAACAAAGTCACCACATCATACCCTTTTCCTTGGAAAAATGAGAAGAAGAGAGGGAAATGGAAAAGGGAACAAAATTATATGAGGAAGGAAGGAAGGAAGGAAAGGAGAAAAAAGAAATGAGTAAGAATACAAAAGAAGAGAGAAAAATAGTTACTTTAAAACATGTTTTATAAATACTTCATCAATGAATGATATACATATACACTTACTCAGAGTCACCAGAAATTTAAAATCTTCAAGAATCTCGATTCATTCCATTTCTCTAAGAATAAATGGGTAAAACTTCTTGAAGAA